CCCTAATCCGGCGAATAATTCGCTGCAATAATAAAGTATGAGCAGCACTAGACTAGACTGCAACTGTATCTGTCGTGCGCTGAGTTTTTGGCGTCAAAAAATAGAGCACCACTAAACGATAATGAGCGAGACTGGAGGTAATAAATCTTCCATAGATTCAGAAGCACACTGTGTGAAAGCAAATGAACCGAGTTGGCAGTGTCGCCAATGAATTTGCCTGAGTTGACAGTGTTGCTCAAATGTTCACTCACAAGTCAGGCCGTTTCGTTGTGCCTCCAACAAACAGTGTAGTTGCTCAGTTCAACGTAGTTGTATATTTACATTTTTTAATTAAATGATTTCAAAGTATTTAAATTAAAGCAGAATTTTTTAAACAGACAAAAGTTGTGTAATTTGGACTGATGAGCCCTACCAATTGTGATGTGTTGACATAGTTTGTGTTCAGAGCAAATGAATTCATTAATTGATGCGACGGTGAGTAGACAGTTCCTTTCTGCGAATTTGATTTCAATGTAGTAAATTATTTCTTAATGATTTGTCGGATCATTCTATAGTTCAACGACACTGTCTTACCAATTTGTTCATTATTAGATTGGGCACCCACTTTAATCTTGTTCTCTCGGCAGTGTCCAGCAGTGTCGAATAGTGACTATGCAAAAGCACTGCAAACGTACTCTGCAACGTTTTTTTGCATACTGCTTCCTTTTGAGCGGACCATGTTGAACTTTTCTTTCCTTCTAGAGAATCAGTGCCATCCGGTGCAATGCGGTTGGAGTCGACTACTGAATATTGTTCCTTACGACAGACAAATGGCTATTAATAAATCTAGATGGTATTCAAGTGTAAGTGAGTAGTCAAAGGTTCTTACTAATTGTCTCCCCATCCTAAACCACAATAGTGATAGCGGTGGGCATTGAGGCAAATGCTGAACGTGCACCATGGCTTGACCGAGCCAATTGAACAGCAAACAGTAGAGCAAAAAGGTGCAACACCGGTGATTGGCTCCAGTTACTGTCTATTTTAGGATCGTCTCTTGGCCGCGCAATTTGCAGTACCCTCTCTCTCTCTCACTCTCTCTCTCTCTCTCTCTCTCTCTCTCTCTCTCTCTCTCT